TCGTGTCTCACTAATACCCCCTTAAGTATTGGTTTTATTTTCTATTAATCGCTGATTATATACTTGTTGTCGACTTTTCAATCGGATTGTAAAAGTAATTAAAGTCTATAAATAGCGCTAAATTGTCGCAAAAAAATTTACAACAAAAACTAACAAAACTTTTTTGAAAACAAAGTTTAACACAAATGTTTAAATCTAATTACAAATGAAATAATGAAATGCAAAAATCCTTACAAAACTCAATCTATACCAACCCTCCAGAAAATGCTACCCAACCCCCACTCCCATCAAAATCATATCAATTAACAACAAAAACTAAACATAAACTCCATTTAAAACTCACATTTAACGCGCGACTAATAGCGCCCACATTAGTCTCACTAGTAGTCCGTCTCATAGGGGGTGCGGCACCGACACTACCGTCGGCCCCTATAGTCTGGGTCTCATCGCTGATGGCACTGGACTTACGGCTCAATAGAGTCTTACACTTATTGCTGTTATTATTGTTACTATTATTATAGTTATAACTCTTTGTCAGTGAATTGCTTTTATAGGAGTTGTTTGAATCACTTTCACTGATATTGCACTGGATTTGAGACAACTTTTGCTCCAGAAGTAAGTCAATGAGCGGTTCATTAGACTTAAACGCCCGGTGATGGACAGGCAGTCGGTGACCACCGCCGCCGGCCATGTGGTGCACGTGCGGCGACGGCAGTACGAGTCGGTCGAGCGCCGGTAGCCCTCGACTGCGACCCGCGGTTAACACATTGTCCGCCAAATCGTTGTACACTTTGGCGGCCGTCCGGTGATGGCGTCGACCGCCGGTGCTGTCCGGGCGGTGGTGTCTGTGGTGTCTGTGCGCTGATGAGGACAGTGTCTGCGAGGCTGCCGATGGCGGCCTCGACTTCCGATGCGAGCCGTGGATCCGGTGGTTGTCATCGGTGTCCACGACGTGACGACAGTCCACGTCCTCCTCGCCCTCGTCGGACGTATTGCTGGACAAGTAGTTGCCGTCAGAGGCCAGGCATCGGAGCCGTAGGGAACCGGTCGTGCGTTGTATCAGCTCAACGATCCGGTCGTGAGTGATGTTCAGCACATCCATGTCGTGGACAGTCATGAGATAATCGCCGCTCCGTAGGCCCGACCGGTGGGCCACGCCTTTCACGTGCGTCAGTATTGACGGCATTTCGCCTGAAGAGTAACGGATCAGTTAGTGGTGACAAAACGAATGGATTACATTAACTGATTTTGGGGGTCAGTTGCGGTGATAATATGACTTACCAGACAATGTGAACCCAAAGCCACGTGCGGTGCGCATGAGTTCCACGCATTTGATCCCATTTGTGGTCATGTCTGGAGCGGTAGTCATGTGGTGATTATCATTAGAGACGGCAGTAGTGGTCGTATTGGCCATCGATGGCGTCGACAACTTCTTAAGCCGCCTCTGAGCCATGGCTTACGAGTGGCTCATATCGGCGCACACATGGCTGTCATCACCAAAACAAACAGGTCTTCAGATATTGTCTTATTTCGTGGACACAAACGCAATGCAAACGAAATCAAAGTCTTTGCCTATTGTTTGCAAACAAAACACTCAATGTTTGACTCAAAACACAATGCGATTCAATGGACGCGCGACTTGTGGACAGTGTTTGCGGTGATTATCTCGTATATCACTCGCGAGTGGGTCTCCAAGAAGTGGTGATCAGTGGTAAAGATGTCGGACATTAAGCC